GTAGAAACATTCTTTATTTAAAATATATTTTTTTTAAAGAGGCAATGGTGACAAAGGAGAAAATTCAAGCTGCTTTGAATGATTTGGCAAAAAAGAAGGGAAAAAACTTAGCTGTGTTCAGTGACTTTTTCCTGATTCCTTCAGCTAGTTAAACAGCTTCTTCCTTGTTTTTTAACTTGTAAGGGAGCTCTGGCGCTCTAATGACAGGAAGCTACACTACAATCCTGAAAGTATGTGGTTCAAATCCTCCAGCTGCGCCATGAGAGAAGGATGGGCAATCTCCTCCTGTGCAATTAACTGTCTCTGAAAACCTGCAAGAGTGTTGGCTATGGATGGGTTCTAACTCTCAGGTACACAACAACAGGTGCAATAAATGTTCTGGAAAATGGGAGGTAGGGAGAGAAGGGAAGATGAGATGAATTCTTTCTAGGTTAATTCTAAGCAAGAGATCTGTATTCTCTCCCATTAGAGGAATCAACCTAAAGTGAACATGCATCAAGTACAATTTTCAGTATTATAATAGCAAATGTCTAATGATGAGCTAGGGAGCTCTGATGGCCTAGTGGGTAACGAGTTACACTGCCAACTTAAAGGCAGATAGGTTCAAATCCACTAGCTGCTCTGAAAGAGTGATGGACAATTTCCTCCCATGTGATTTATTGCCTCTGAAACTCTAATGGAGCGTCAGCTATGAGTTGGTTCTGAGTAGATAGCACATAACAATAACAGATGAGCTGATGAAACCTGGTGGTGCAACGGTTAAGCACTGGGCTGCTAAGTGAAAGGTTGATGGTTCAAATTCACCCAGCCACTCCAAGGGAGAAAGACTGGTGATCTACTCTTGTCAAGATTACTCTATGGGCAATTCTACACTTTCAAATGGGATCATTGAGTTGAAAATTGACTAGACTGCACCTAACAAAACCACACTTTACCTAAATTATCTCATTTAATAAAAAAAATTTCTTTTTATCACCTCTATTTTACAACCAAGAGAACTCAAGTCTTTGTTGTTGCTGTTATGTGCCACTGCATCTACTATGACTTATAGTGACTCTATAAACGAGATCTGAACCTTGACCTACCCTGAACCATTCTCACAATTTCACATATGCTCAAGCCCATTGTTACAATCACTGTGCCAATCCACCTTGTTGAAGGTCTTTAAAAAAACATTAAATAAATTGTCCATAAGTTATCCCATCTAATAACTGGCAGAGGGAGAATCTGACTCAGAGAGACCCTTATACGACTGATTAGAACTACCCCTCGGGGTTTACAAAGCAATAAGCAATCTCCAGTAGAGCAGCTGGTAGGTTTGCACTTACAATCCTTTGGTTACTAACAGAGCTACATATGCAAATTAGTTTTATTAATGGTCTACACCATAATTTTTCATCTCAGGTAAAATCTGAAGCATGAACAAAGGAAATGGATTTTATTCTAAACAAGACACTTTTCACAAATCTTTGGATCAGACCTTATTTATCTTTCTTTCTGAGATACAAAAAGGCAATGGAAAACAGATGTTCCGTTTTAAGCTCTCAGTCAAACTAAGTCTCAACTGGACAATCACTTAATAAAAACTTATTTTCAGAACACAGTTCCGAAACTGTATAAAGTAGGATACAAAAGAATAAAATGAAGCCTCAGCACTCCAGAACTTCTGAGTCCAATGAGGACTATCCATATAGTGTTACCAAGGAAACAGGAAGTTGCTTCTTTGAAATGGATCTTGAGGATGAGAAAGTTGGAGGCCAACAGAAATATATCAACCAATATGTATGAAAAGACCAGTCCAGAGGTCACATCTTTGAGTGCGACTAGCAGATCAGAGATTAGACATAGTGCATTTGTGATGATTAATGTGAATGGAGCTTCAGTGCATGGAAAAAACGGCAAGGATAAAAAGGATGTGATGGGAGATAAGGCTGTTAAAAAGATAAGTGCCAACTCGATAAGTTTCTGAAAATCAGGTACTGAAGTGCAATGTTTTTAAAAATAAAATCAAAGAAAGGCAGGGACTAGCTGTTAAATGATATACTAAAAAAGATGTAAGCATAAAAAGGTTCTGGATATAAAGAGCTAAAGATAAAGAGCTAAAGAGCTTTACCTGGAGAAATGCAGTCAGAGTGCTTCTTGAAGACAAGAATGATAAAGTTTTGTCTCACATATTTTGGGCATGTTGTTGGGTATTATCAAGTTGGAACCAACTCATGGCTGACCCTCCAGGGAGTTTTCAGAGGCAATAAATCACACAGGAGGAGACTGCCTTTCTTTCTCCTGAGGAGGAGCTAGTGAATTGGAACCAAGTACCTTCAGGATTGTAGCACAGGTTCTCATTCCTGGGGCACCAGAGCTCCCTAAGTGATGTTGTTATGAGGGGCTAGTCCATGGAAAGGGACATCATCTTTGGATAAGTACTGGTTCAGTGAAAGAGAGGAAAATCTTCAACAAGATAGATGCCACAGTGACTGCTGCTATGGGCTTAAGTATGTCAGAGATGAGGATGGCACAAAATAGGTCAGGGTGCAGATCTGTTTTGAGAGCGTCGTTATGAGTTGTACTTGACTCAGTAGTACGTAACAACCACCTCTATTTTATTCAAACTTCCAACTACTAAAATACAGTTCCATACTAACCTATTTAACACACCAAGTGTGTTCTAAAGGTAACAACTTCCCTGAAGTCTAAGAAAAAAAATTTGAAAATGGAAAGTCTGTCTTCCTTTCCTTCTTTTCTCTTTACATTAGGTTAACGTAACTCTATTTAAATAGACCCAACTTAGCTGTTCTGCAGTTTTTTCGTAGGAAACGCAAACTTACACGTCATTGAACATGACCTGACATTCACTTTGCTTAAAAACCATGTCCGCTTTAACCATCTATTATTGCTAAAAGCAAGCATTCAGTTGAAAAGGAGAACAAGTTGTTCTATTTCTTTCCATTTTTAGCTATTTAATAAGCCTGTAGGTTCTCTACAGCAGAGTCATACTGTGCACAAACAATAAAACCAGTGATGATTTGGGGGCTCTAGAGGAATGTGACACCCTTCCCCCAGACCCCCAGATTCTTCTTCAAACCTTGCTCTCTTCTTCAACTAATGGCAAAAACTGAAATGTGTTTATGCTTTTACATAACCTGCAAATATTTGATGGGCCTGGCACCCCTGCTTTAGTTCTACACCCGCTCAGTATGTCCACTCATCCTCTGGTAGGACAGGACACATATAGCACAACAGAGTAGTCCTCTAGACCCAGGGCACATGACAAAGCAGATCACCTTTCAAATATCAACACTGGAAGTGAACTTACTCCTCATGTGCTTCTCTGTCAAGCAAGGTATACAAACTGTGCAGATCACATGGCTGTTCATATGAAACTTTAATTGTCAGCAGCACATAAGCAGTTATCATTTTTGCCTCAGACTATACCTCAAGTTCAGTGATGGTTTGTGGTGTCCCAAATAGTTCTCCTTTATTTAGTGCAATAATTTTCTTCTTGTAAAATCATTGTGTTCACAAGAGTAAGTCCTTCCCACTTTATAACTGTTTTTATCCAACAGTAAAATTCAAATTGGCGATGAATTACTTATACAATCCCTTATGAGTGGTCCATAGGACAGAGACAAATGATTGGGTACACACCAGTGATAACTTGCTAGAGGTGAAACAGTATTAAGATTAAAATAAGGCTCTCTATTCAGGATCCAAAATTTACTCTCCATTCCCTATCAAGTGCCCTTGAAAATGCACCAACAATGCTAGTGCTCCAGTAACAACAAATTGGGCTATGAGAGTACTGAATATCCCCCATAGACTGCAAAAAGAACAAGTAGATATGTCTTGGAAAAAGTGCTACCAGAGTGCTCCTTGGAAGCAAAAGATGATAAAGCTTTGTCTCTTACACTTTGGACATGTTGTTAGGAGAGGCTTTTTCTCAGAAAGGGACATCAAACTTGGAAGTATGGAGGGGTCAACCAAAGACATTCCTCCAATAAAAAGAGCACCAAGCCCCAATGAAATAGATTGACACAGTGACTACAGCAATGGGCTCAAGTATGTCAGAGATGATGAGGATGGCACTGTATCGGACAGGATTGAGTTCTGTTATTTATAGGGTCACTATGAGTCATACTCAACTGGAGGGCACCTACCAAGAACAGTCTACAAATGATTCCGGTAGAGCCACCTCTTGCTCTGGTGTGTTATGCAAGGTTATTATACTCAAGAAGTGACTACTAACCACAGGTGGAAGTTATTGTTGTTAGATGCCTTAAGGCTTAAATGATAGGAGTGTTTAAAAATTTCAAAACAACTGGAGCTGGGAGCCAGGGTGGGATGAGAAGATATCTACATAACACTCCAAACCACCAAAACAAGCCTAGTTAATTAATGCCCACTTAGTGAATACCAGGAAAAACAATACCAGGACTTAGCTTTCATCTTTTGTTGTGTTCCAGGAAAATATTGCTGAATCTGGTTTGTGTTGTATATTTTGGGGTTAATTCCATTTTCAGTTTATATATAGTCCTTTCTTCTGAAAAAAGGTCAAGCATTGAGACTGATGACACATTTTCAGAATGTTAAGTCTATTTGTAAAGTACACTAGGTATTTCTGAAGAACTTTATTTACAAAGCCTCTTCTGGGGAAAATAAATCATCAAGAAGTTTTTAAACACCCGCCTGTGTTCCTGTGTTCTCAATTACCGTAAGCATCACAAAAGCAATGAAGCTCTGAAAGAGCTTGCCACACAGTTGAGCAAAAGGAATATGAGGCAACAAGTAACAATAAAAGCAAACCTGTCACTGACAATTATGAGATACCATCTAAATGTCTGCTTTTAGCGCAGGAGGTTGCGTCTGGTTCCGGTATGTGTATGTGTATGAATGTGTGCGTAATTTTGGGGCAAAACCTAGTTAAAAATCAAGACAAATAATACGATGATTTCTTGTCTCTCTGCTGTCCTTATGTGACTGAATAAAGTAGGGGAACAGAAAGGTGCTTCCAGAAAAGCAGTGGTTATTAATAGTAACCAAACCTCTGTTATAGCTAAAGTACAATTTATTTTAACTTTTAAAAATAAAAATACGTCCCTCTACCTTCAATTGCAGTAATTGTTGGACTAGGGCGGTCACATTATAGCATCACCTAAGCACTTGTGATAACCTAAGGCTCCAGACCCGAATTTCCAGCTCTTTCCAAAAGATGCGTCCTCAAAATCCAGCAGACGACAGGAAAAATATGAATTCATGCAGGGCTGAGCGCGGGCTCGCCTTCCTATTGGGAAAAGTCAGAAACGTTCGCCCAGAAACGGCTCCTGAGACTATCTCGCGCCTCTCCTTTCATTAATCCTTGTCCTGCTCACATTTTACACGCTTCCCCAGGAACAGGACACCTCCCCGCCCCAGCAGTCTGCAGCTCCTGCCCGCTCTCCCCGCTCGCCTGTCGCTGGCCCACGTACCTCCCTCTTGGTGAGGTTCTTGTCCGGTCCCAGCAGGTAAGGGGTTAGGAAAGGGTCGGATGGCCTGAGGCTGGCGAAGAAACCGTACACGCAGAGAAGCGCGGTCGGCAGGAACCAGCACTCACGGGGAACCCGGATCGTGCGCAGGAGCATGGTTGCAGCGGCTGCCGCCCCTCGCCGGGACACCGGGCCCGGCATATCCATCCGGGGGCGGAGGGTCGGGGACCCGGCCCGGCCCCTTCTTTCTCCTCCTCCAACTAGCCGGCCCCTTCTTTCTCCTCCTCCAACTAGAATTAGGTTCAATGTCTGGCCCGGAACGGGCCACTGTAACCGAGAGGGGCGCCTCCTACTGGCAGGGCCGGAAGCCGAGGCTCAATTGCCGTCTTTGACTGCAGCGCCCTTGGCCTTTCCCGGCTGCGGCTCCCTCACGTGTCACAGCCCCGCCCCGCGGCCAAAACCGGGACACGCCCCAAGCCCCACCGCCACGCCCCTTCAGCCTGATAGCCAATCACAGCGGAGTACAGAATTTTGACTGCTCTTCATTGGTCAGTGACTCTACGCCCCTCAGAAGATGTAAACCCTCCACGGCGGAATGCTGGGCGATTGACGTCCTCTGGCTCTGGCGCGGAGGGCGTGCGGCACTCCTCACGGAACCCGGTGACTTGTCTCCTGGGCTCGCGCTAGTCCCACACACGCTGTTGGCTATCACGCTCAGTGCTGCGGCTCACTTGTCGGGAATCCTCGATTGAGTCTAACCTCCCACCGAAAGGAATACATCGTTCACACAGTCACGCTTGCTCATTCTTAATCATCATTCCTCGGATTTCCACTCACGGTGTTTTCCGAGAGATTCGGAGGCTAAAGACCTAACCTTGGGGCAGGGGAATGCTAAGCCTTTTTTCTAGCAATCTTCATATTTTAAATTACAATTTCATTTCAAAAGACCGTTGATTCTAACTGCTCAGGACACTGAGCCAAAAGAAGGGGGGAGTGGAGCAAAAAAATCTCACCAGTGTGCGCAGAATAGACAAGCTGGCCTCTTAACAAAATGCCTGTAATGTTCTCCCAAAGAAAGGGTTTGGCTTGTATTTTTGGTGTAGTTCCCCCACGCCAACCAGAATACAAAGCTCTTAAACACATCACTGTACAAGATATAGACAGTGGTTGGGGAAGCAAAGTGGGAGATCCTGCATCATTAAAGTAAGTCATCCTAAAACAATCGATTTTTAATGCCAGGAGAGGGGATAAGAGAGGGGGGGAAAGGAGGGAGAAAAAGATGTAGGTCTTGGCATAGTTTTCAAGGGTGAAGCATGACCAGAATCCCCAGTGCTTGCTTTCATCTCCCTCAGTGGCTTTTCCGCCTGACTCACGGCTCAATTCTATCCCAATTCTTCCACTGCAGACTTAACTCCGCCTTTTAAACCATCTTCCCCAGTGGTGTTTGTAGGGTAACAGATCCTACCAGACAGCGTACCGAAAGCAGTTTTGAACACTATTTTGATTCAGTGCATGCTATGTCCCATCATACTCAATTTTCCTCTTGTGGCACCAAATGACAGTTTTTATAAATAGGATACATAAGAAACAAAAACTAATCTGCCAGGCGGAACTGATATTAATCAGGGAAAGAAGATTTATATTTAAGGCACCAAACAAACAGAACTCAACTCATTGCCGCAGAGTCAGAACTGACTCATAGGTGACTCTCCAGCAGGTTTTCAGAGGCTGTAAATCACTTGGGAGGATCTTCCTTCCACAGAGGAGCTGATGGATTCTAACCACCTGTCCTTGGGTTGACAGCACAACACCTTACCCTCTAGACCAGCAGGGCTCTCTCCCTCTTATGGCAACAATACATCAGTATATATATGAGTTGATAAATCTTTTAAAAGTTCAGTTGGTGGTATTTAGACGTAACAAACAAAACAAAACCCAAAATTCAAACCCATTGACTGATTAGGATTTATAATGACTGTAGGATTGAGTAGGATTGTCCCTTAGGTATTCAAGACTAATATTTCCATTAGGAAATGGAACTTTTCTCCTGTCACTGGAACGGCTGGTTGGCCCAGACCATTGATCTTTCTATTTGAAGCCACTTACTTAGACCACCGTCACCTTCTATCACTGGGTCTCAAAGTGTGATCAGGAATCCCTGAGGACTTTTAGGACCTTTTCAGAAGTTCCACAAGGTCAAACGATTTTCATGATGATATTGAAACCTTATTTTCGTTTCTATTCTAGAGGCTATATGATGTGTGATAACTTCACTCTGACAGCAAAGAGTGTGTGCTTGTATAGTCTTGTGTTTAAAAGCCTTTCATATTTGGTTTCTAATATGGCACACACCCATAGGTATAAAGAATAAACACAGAAGTTTTTTATGGTTCTCAAAGGTGAAAAAGTCCACACAATGCACTTGTCTGTTTGCACATGTAGATACTGCAGGCTGCTTGTGACTTGAATCCCTATACGATGAGCACCTGCACTCCTTTTGGCAACTATTTTGCATTTACGTTCAGTGCTTTAGTAGATGGAAAGTGAAACAAAGCCAGGAAAGGCCTCAGAAAGAAAAGCCTGCATAGTAGGAGCAAGTTGTTCTTTCCTTAGGGCTTGGATAGCTGAACTGTGTTAATCTATAAATCACTGGTTCTGGAATCTTGGTATAAATCACTTGGTACAAAACCACTTCAAATCTTCTTTGCTATAAGACAGACACAGACAAATAACAATTTGTTCTTGGATTAGGTACAATATATTTTTTTATAATTTTTCTCTTAAGAGGTTGTGGTGAACAGAATTCCAAGAATGACCAGCTATTCTTGCGTTTGTATAATTTGCACCCTTTGGATCCTATGATTTATGACATCACACTCCTGTGATTATTTTTTTATTTTTACAATGTTGTTATTCTCTTTAATAAATAGAAGCCACATCACTTCACTTGTTACTGCAAATAAATTAAGAGGCAACAATTCAAGAGGTCCCCATAAAATAACAGAAAAGGGTGAAGACTTTCACCACCTCTGCCTTTGGTTTTCTTTCGATTTCTGCTCTTCCACCCACATAAGCATGTATTTCCAAAATGGATTCTGTCTTCAGATCCTATACTAGTTGGGAGTCTATCAGTTTGCCTTAATAACAGAGTGAAGGGATCCCTGAATTAGCTAAGGAACCTGGATAAATCTTCTTTGATTTCTGCTTCATCCCAAGGCCCATGAATGTTTTCTTTAAAAAGCTGCAGGCGAATGAGGTAGAAAGGGCAGAGGCACGAGATGGAAATAAGCAGAAGGGCGAACAGTGTGGCTCCCACACCACTAATGGACAGCAGGCCTCCTAAAGCTGAAAACACAAAAAAGCAGCGTGACTCCCGCATAGCTGCGAGGAGTCCGTGCCTTTAGCTTCTTTTGCAGCATGGGCCACAGAGCAAAGATCTGGATGGCAAATGTCACCATGATGAAGGCATGTAAGGACAGGGGCAGGCGTGAGGCCAGGCAGACAGACGCAAAGATGGCCATGTTTAAGGACAGTGTGCTGGATACAATGGCAGCGTTGGCACCATAGTCGAAGAAGATGAGGTGACCTAGCAGCACGAAGACCGACATGGCGTAGATGGTGTCAGTGTTGACTGACTCTGTCAGGGTCTTCAGCACTGGTGAGAAGCCATGTGTAAAAGTGATGAAAACCAGTGCACTCTTTAGGTCGACCCACCGGGTCCGCCCACTCTTTTTGCGCCCTTCACCTCCATCAATGAGATCAAACAAAACATACCCAATCAGTGAGGAAGCTAGGCCGGTCCCAAAAAGCCACTGAGGGGCCAGCAGACTTTCGTCCATATACTACCATATAACCACAAACACATACACACTGCACAACTGCTGAATCACCACGCTGGACTCAAACACGACAGCCCAGTATTGGTATTTCCGAGCGTAGATGTTTTTCCGAAACTCTTCCAGAAACCTCCGATCCACATAATTATCAGGGAAGGGCTGTCGCTCATACAAGACCTGCTGCCACTTGGCCTCCTTGGTGTTAGTTTCTAGCTGGTTACACATTATCGTTTTCCAAAACTCAGGCCTGTTCAATCTCCCCGGAAGAAGTCCATGTGGTTCTGGTTCTTTATGAAGTTTTGATATAAGGCTTCTCTGGAAATTCCATGCTGTGCTGTAGCTGACAGTCTATTGACCTTCCTTTGCTTCCAAAGGCAGCAACCCAGGCCAGACCTGCAGTAGATGAGCTTGTTCTCTGAGGCAGGGCAACACACCAATTTCCTGCCCACTGGTTCCCAGGGGTGCGAGGCCGCCCCTCCTGTGATTATTTTACTTTATATGAGATTAGCAGGGTAGACTTAGTCTAAACGTATGAACCTTTTAAAAACAAAAGATTTACTCCTGCTGGGAGCTGAAGAGGGCCCCTGCGGCATAGTGGATTAAGTATTGGACTGCTGGCCAAAAGGTTGGTGGTTCAAATCCACCAGCAGTTGTATAGAGGAAAAGATGAGGCAGTTTGTTCCCAGAAAGATTACAGCCCAGGAAATCCTGTGGGATAATTAAACTCTATTCTATATACTTGTTGTGAGTCAGAATATACTTAAAAGCTGTTGGTTTGGGTCTTCCAGCGGCAGAGAAGCTAATCAAAAGACAAGGAGTGGACCTGCTATTGTGGGAGGACACCATGTGTCAAAGAATGTGAGCAGCTTGTAGAAGATGAAATTGATTCCTTGTTTGACAGCCGGCAGGGAAATGTGGACCTCAGTCCTACAATGGTAAAAACTGAATCATGTCAACATTTTAAATGAGCCCGCCTTAGTCTTGTGAGATCTTAATCAGAAAGTCCACTTTAGCACCTGTGGACTTCACACTTACAGAACTGTGAGTTAAGTTGCACTAAAAAGCCACTAAAAAAAAAAAATTAAAAAAAAAAAGCCACTAAAAAGCAATGTTATGATAGTCAGAGAAAAGATGGACAATTTCAGTTTGTTTTGATTTGCAGTCAGGACTGATGGAAACAGCCATCAAGTATTTCATGGGGCACACCTGTTGCAAGGGACTTCTTTAAAGTGCTGTGTAACAAGGATGTCACTTTGGGGTCTAAGCCATGGTACCTGATCCAGGCCATGGTATTTTTAGTTGCCTCAGGTGCCTAGAAAAGTTAGTAAAGAAAGTTAAAAAGAATTGATACCTTTGAGTTGTCATATTGGCAAAGAATATTGAACATTTTACATTTTGGGAACTGGACATTGTTTC